AAACATATTTTAATTTTATTTAAATTTTTTTTTCTTGCTTTGTGTCTCTTTGTGTGGTGTATGTAGAGGTGACTGCATGATAGCTCAAAATGAGGTCTTACTCTTGTATATTGCAGGGTGGGGTGTAGGGGTTGTTGGGTATGGGGTTTGTGTGGGGACTGTGGGTGTGTGGGGACCTGCACTGCACAGGCCTGGCCCTGGGTGCCCCACACCTGCTCCAGGCTCACCCACGCAGGCTCAGCAGTGGTGGTGCAGGACAGAAGCTGCTGCTCAGCATGGGGAAAAAGCAGCCCCTCCCCCTTGCCACTTCCGGGCAGTTCTTGCTAGAGCCTCCCAGAGCCAGTGCCAGACTGCCCTGTGTCTGTTCTGTGTTGCCACCACTGTCCTGCTTGGCAACCCAGAGGCACTGGTGATGGTGGCACAGACACAGGGTAACCAGGCGCAGGCTCTAGGCAGCTGCACCAAGAACTGCCCAGCAGTGGCAAGGGGGAGGGGCCGCTTTTTCCCCACAATGAACAACAGCTTGTGTCTCATGCCGCCACCGCTGAGCCTGAGCAGGTGAGCCAGGAGCAAACACAGGGCACACGGTGTCAGGGCTGTGCAGCACGGGTCCCCACCTATCCATCTCCATGGTGAGGCAAGTTTGTTTGAAATGATTAATGCCATAGTATACATCACAGTGTTTGTCTCTGAAGTATTGATGTTGATTAAAGAGCTCAGTGTTGCTTGTAGCACTTCTAAGGCTATCCAGCAGCAAAGATCATATCCATTGTACCTCTGAGTGGTCTAAAACCATACTGGGACTCAGATTCCCCGGAGTGAGGAAACTGAATCTACTGAGGAGAATGCAGCCGAAGATCTACTCAGCTCTGGACAAGAAAACACTACCACAATAATTCCTACAATCCAATCTATCTCTTTTCTTGGAGATAGCCTTTCAGGCCACTGGGAATCTATTTATGTTTCCAGGTTTTCATAACTTTGTGTAGATCATGAGAGAACTTTTTCTACCCTGCTTATAAATTTCATCTGGTATTCCATTAAGACCACATGCTTTGTTGTTTTTCATCTGCTTAATAATTTTCAAGGTCTCTTGATCATGGATCATGCAAGGTAGTCCTTTATGAGGGATTATGAAGTATATTCAGTGGTGTTGTCTTCAGCATTACAATCTTGATTCAGGAGCTCTTAAAAATGTTCCTTCCATACTGCATTGATGGTGGAGCTATCTTTAAACAGTGGCAATAGCTCTGGTGATGTGGATGTTCAGCAGTCCAGAGACTGTGATACATTTGCATATTAGGATGGTTCAAAGAAGAGTGTATATGTAAAGGTGTATGTTTTCTAGAAAGGTCTTGATTTGTGTATACCCTGGTATATTTCCCGTGTCAGTGAGACAGACAAGCTAACAGTGAATAAAGGATATCTGATTTCTGTGTGGTTTCTCCTGCTCAGTGGGCACGTCTATATGTGTACCATTACTGCGCTGTAACTTAGGTTATAGAGCATTAACTGAAAATTACTGTGCAGCATGGGTGCACGTCTACACATGTGCGCCCATTCCACATAGTAACTATGGTGACTTTTGTCAAATTGGGCATAAATTTCTGTTTTGACCCTGTTTCGACCATTTCGCTAAATCATGTGGGAGGCAGGGAGTCAGCCCAGCTGAGCTGCTTCCCTGCTCCCCGTGCGATCTAGCGTGGGGGATGGTGAGGCAGCCCAGCTGAGCTGCCTTCCCTTCCCCCGGCACTTTAGCATGGGAGCAGTCCAACTGGGATTCTTTCCTTCCCCCCCTGTGATCTGCCTCCCCATCCCCTGCTGGATCTTGCACTGGGGATGGGAAGTCAGCCCAGCTGGACTGACTTCCCATCCCCAGCGCTATGGTCAAAATGTTTCAACTTTTGAAACGTTTTGACTAGCCTCGTTTTGTTTTGAGGCTGTTTCGACGGCCTTTGTTTCATTCAATTTTGCTGTTTTGACCGCGAAATGAGTCGAAACAGTGTCGAAATGAAATAGCCATCGAAATTTCGCACAACCCGACTGTGCAGTAACCCTGTTTATGTGGACTGACTTGGAACAAACTTTAGTCCCAAGTCAGCCCATACACAGCATTACAGCGCTATTACAGCTACACGTGTAGACGCTGGCATAAAATCTGCTTACAGCACAGTAAGTTACTGTGCAGTAAATTCACATGTAGACGTGCCCACTGGTGAACCTGAAGCAGTGGAAGTGGAAGACGTGTCCTTAGAGGATGCAACAACATGGATAGAGACAAACAACTATGCTGCAAAGCAGAATGCCATGTGAGGGATTCAAAATTGGTTTAATCTTAGATCAGTAAAACCAGAGCCACAACAGATGCTTCACAAAATTACCAAACATGTAATTGAAAAGTTAACAATGTTATGGGCAAATATGTTTTCCAAATTGGCCACCTAGAGATTTTGAGATGTGTGGCTTATTGGAAACATTTTACAAGGGTTTCTCATCATCTTTTTTAAAATTGAGTACAAGATCTTCTTCCTCAAACTTCAAATGAGTGTCTCAGAATGGTTGCTACCAAAATATATTTTTGTGCAATAATATTACAAATTGGCAACAACTTTTACATGAAGTCAAATGATAAGTGCATTTGGACATTATATAGTTTGAATGTAAACTGGAAAAGTGATTACCATTACAGTGAAAATTTGAGTATATGAATAACTTTTAAGCCTTAGAGATTCACAATTTAAATGCAGAACTAATATCAGAAATATTAGCATCTCTTTTCTGTTTAATCTGGAAGCTGGAAACATTTCTTCATCTTCACACACAAAGATAAGTAAATGGAAATGTAACTCTATTGGTGTGACTTGTTCCATAAAACAATGCATATTTTGCTGTAATTTAGTAGATTGATTGTTTGCATTCTAGCACAAAGTAAGCTATAAGCAGGAGAATGTTTTAAGATCTATACATACAAATTCACTATTAGTCATTGAGGCTGCTATTGTAGCAAGATTGGTGTATCTTCTGAAATTATATAGCATACCTCAAAATGGAAACTACTTTTTCAGATGGCGTAGAAGTGATCTTAGAAAGTCAATAAACTTAATTTCATTCCCTTGTCTTAGTACTCAAATGCCATGAAAATTAGAGCACATCCTCTAGAGCTAACACATGTTGTACCATCCAGTTTAAACATCTCCTCTTTTTCTATGCTTAAATATCGAATGATAAATTCTGACTGACGTAAAGTGGTGATTTATATATAATGGCTTCTTTTTCTGGTTCTATTTTCTGTTTTATTATCCATTAGCAACTTGATTTCATTGAATTATTTTGAAAAAATTAGATCCGTAGAAAATTATATCACAAGCAATGTTCTACTAATGACATTGCAAATCGTTCTTAAGCAAAGCTGTACAAATTTAAGAACATTCATTGTTGAAGGGGAAGAACCAATTGCTTTAAAACTATAGCTTAAGATTTGTATTGCTAAAATCTGTGAATCAGATTTATACACTATTATTTTCTAATATAGCTTATTTAAATTTCAGTTTTCCCACTTTCCTCAGTACAGCTGTGTTTGCTGATTCTTAGATAATTCAAGGCAAAACATCATTAGTGATGCAGCTATATTAAACCCTTAAGTACAGTACTGAGAACTTTGAGGATATTTGAAGTCTGCACCAAGACCTGGATCTGAATTTTATAAGTATCTTTTATATTTTAAAAACCTCAGAAAAAAATCATTCCAAGTGTCTTGGTCAATTTGAGCATGTCTTCTTCAGTTCTGTGAACTGGTAGTTATGAAGACAACCTGTCCCCTATCTTTCTACAAAATGCAATTATATTCTGTTAAAGATACTTACAACACAGTACCAAGAAAGAAGGTGTTGCTGTTGAATATTCATTTTAATTTAAAAGGTATACATGTATGCAATTACTAGTTTTATTTAGGCTTCCTCCATCTTGTTTTATCCCTCCAGGTTTTTCTGTTTCCTATAATGTTAAATACTCTTGCCAAACAACTGCTCTCATAATGCTTGAGCCATTTACAAGTACCTCTTATTGGTCACCAGAAATAGTTTCTACATTAGAAAACACAACTGAAAGTTCCATTTTCATAAGGCATAAATTCAGCATTTGCAGACTCAAAACATGAGAGCCATGAACTTAATCATCTTTGTGCATAAATAAACCTAACTATTAACTTTACTATAGCTAATATATAGCTCAATAAAGTTTCGTTTTTGGGAATAGTTTTGATTGTATCAGTAGAAAAGAAAGTATGGTGTGCTCACTTCATGTTCAAACTGAATGATACAGGGAAAGTAAAACTGTTTACTTGTTCACATTGGGTTTATAAGCTATTAAGAGTTGCTAATGCTAACTTTCCCACAACTGTCCTAAGACCAGGCAAGAAATGTTTCCTTCTGAAAGGGAGACTGAGAGTGTGGGAGCTCTTGGATCTGGAAGGATGTTAAGGAACACCAATATTTTTTATTTCTCTATCCTGATCGTATGAGTGCAGAGAAGAGAATCTCAAGTTTAGTCCTGTTTTTCTGCACAGACATGATTCTAGCACAGCCAAACAACATAGCTTGTTCTTTAGGCAAGCACTCTCTGTTGCTCTGTATGTGTACTGTACTTAGCATATATTTTTAGGGCGGTATTGTATCACAAAATAATAAAATCTGTTGAATTTGTTTGATGAAATGAAGAAAAATTAGCAGTTTCCAGTACTTTAAAAGTAATAGAATAAACAAAGGATAACTTACTTTTTTCTTTAAAATACTGTAAATTCTCAGAATTTATACTGAGTTGGGCACCTGGGAAATTTAACATGTACAATTCTTTCATTGTACTTCTTACCCTGTATCACTGAAAACAGCAGAAGTGTCATAACTGACTTTGGTAAGGGCAAGTAATCTCTGTGGATTACATCTTTTAACGCAGAGCCATTTCATTGAGTGTGTTAATTTTAACATCATATATTTTTCTTTTAGAATTCCAACCTGATTCATCAGAAGGTGTCTCCTCCCACTGAGCGGCAAGGTTCACCAATCTTATCATTCATTATTCTTGAACAATACAATGCCATTCTCCTAGTACAAAGTGTCCATCAGTCACTTGCAGCTCTCAGTAAAGTCATCAGAGGTACCTCACTGTTGAGCTCTGAAGTACAAAGACTAGCAAGCGCTCTACTAAACCAAAAGGTAAGTTAATCTTAAAATCCCTGGTCCTTAAGAATCATTCTTAAAGTTTAAACAAAAATCTCCAAAATTATAATCCATTTTTCAATTACACCATTTTTTCAGAATTGTTACTGGTTTATTTTTGTTTTGTTTTAATTCTTTTTCATTAACATTGTCACAAAAAGGGTAGAGGGGTTCAGGAGAGTCCTAATCAAATAGGAATCTTTCAAAAGAAGGTCATTGGTTCAAGATTTTGAACAGCAAATGTTTACCATCTGAAGGCTGTTAACAACTACAACACTAATTGCTATGGTTAATCTAAGAAGCAATTTCAAAAGTGAGCCTAAAGTAGCAGCATAGAACTACTTTATTGTACTTGAAGTTGAGGCTTCATGGAAATCAATTAAACCATGATTGCCAGTTAGCTGTGTTGCACTTTTTGTGAGGATAAATAAATATTAGTAGTGTCAGTCTGGCATTTTTAAGAGTGCTGATGGGTGCTGACTACATACAGTTACTTTCTTAATGTTAGGGATACGATTTCTTTAGATATAAAGCAAAATGGCCAAACCACCCAACTATCCTGCAGGGTACAAAGCTTGCTATTTTGTACCATAACTTGACTATAATTGTTCATCATGAAAACTTAGAAAAATGTTGTTTAAGCAGCCAGGGAGCCTTTGTGCATATTATGCACTTTAGCTTAGCTTTCTCTCAAGAATATACAAAGCTAAGTAGAATTAAGTTCTGGAGTAATATTTCCACATCAAATACCACAAAACCTCACCAAACAAATCATTTATATTAGCCCTGAAAACATTATTTTTAGCGCTGTCAAACGATTAAAAAATTTGATCGTGATTCGTTGCATGATTAAAAAAATATTCACAATTAATCACACAGCTAAAAGCTCAAACTCATGTGAAGAAAAACTCAAAATTATGCAGGTACTTTGTATGGTTCAGGGTGGGTGTGTGCGTGTGGGGGGGAATTTATGACAGTGTGGGGGGCAGTGGGTTTGTGGGGGGGGTTTGAAGCCCAGGGTGGGGGGTTCCTGCATACCCTAGCAGGACGTGGGGTACTGTGGGTTAGGAATGAGGGGCAGCAGCAGGGCTTGGGGGGCTGTGGCTTCGGAGTGAAAGGCACACACACCCCCACATACATAGACAGAGCACAGCAGATAAGCATGTAGCGGGGAAGGGACCTGGGGAGAGGTAAGGGGCAGGGGGTGCAGATCAAGGCCCCCACAGTAAGGGAGGAAGTGAGGCAGAGGAAGGGGCAGGTGCTGGGGTGAATTGGGCCCCAGGCCTGGGCGGGTCATGGGATGGAACCGTGGGTGGCTCATCCAGGGCGTCAGGGTCAGGGATTGTTCCCGCCCCGTGTGCATCCCCAGGAGAGGCATGGGGGGCATGTGGCCCCTGGATTTGTGTGCAGGGCAGAGGCAGGCTGCTGCTGCAAGCTGGGACTCTGCACCCTGCTGCCATTGCCCCAGGACCTGTGCAATGCCATGCTATGCCTCCTTCTGCTGGGTGAGCAGGGGACAAGGTGTAGCCAGCGCATGGCTCCTAGGGCAAAGGCAGTGGGGTGCAGATCCCCAGCCTGCAGCAGCAGCCCACCTCTGCCCCACACACAAATCTAGGGGGCACATGCCCCCCATGAGTCCCCTGGGGTGCGCACAGTGGCAGGAGCTCCCCCATGCTCCTGGATGAGCCACCCATAGCTCCATCCCATGGCCTGCCCCGACCCCAGGGCACCATTCACCCCAGCCCCTGCCCTTGCCTCTGCCTCAATCCCTCCCTCACCGTGGGGGCCTCACTCTGCCTTCCCTATGCCCCTTCTCCTTCTCAGACTTGCCTACTGGGCGCTGCTCCACATGCTGCTGGGCTGTGTTCCTGGATGCCTGCAGGCTGCGGCTGCCTATCTCTGTCTGCGTGTACCTTCCTCTCCCTGCTGCAGCTGCCCATAGCCTGCACCCAGGCTGCCCTATGGTCCTCTGCACTGCCACTGCTGTCCTGCAGGGCAGCCCAGAGGTGGCAGTGATGGCAGCAGGACAGAGTGCCCGGGTGCGGGCTCCAAAACCATATGCATGATTAATGCATTAAAAAAATTAACACGGACAATGATTAACTTGTTAATCACACACGTTAACCGCAGTTGACAGTCCTAATTATTTATTTTTTGTCATTTCACTGCAGGTTAAATCAGTATCTACAGCTAAATCTGGATCTAATTTCACTAATACAATATCCTACAAATGTATATTCCAACAAAATGCTGTCCCCTTTCTCTGTTTTGAGGCTCCATAAAGTTTTAGTTTCGCCAGAGTAAACAGCAGTAATCTGCACTCTTTGTTTATGCAATACACATCATTGGCTGATCAATACAGATCAAGCCATCTCAAACTAAAGAAGGCTTTCATAGCTGTCAATAAGCAGGAGATAGCAAGAATCATCACATTATATACTTTTTTCTACCTTGTATTTCAGGGGTTTTTTTCCATTTGAAGTCTTATTTTAATGTTCTAAATAAGCTTCAGCCAAGTGAATCAGGAATTTCACTTAGTTGAATTATTGTTATATTAACAATGCCAGTATGTTGACTTTCTTGGGGAAATTAATGCCTGTAGGCTCAGAGTGTATGCTGCTTCAGCTATGAGATTCATGCTGTTTGTATAAATTCAGAGAGTAACTCATCCTAAGATTAAGTTTTATTATCCTAAAGTATTAAATAGAACATAATTTATTGAAACCCATACATGTAAGAGGAGGTCTTATGAGCACTCTCCTGGTGACCAGATACTATTGCATGTCTTGATGAACAGCTTTATCTCGTAGTAGAAGACTTTTTTCAGGTCAGCTGTGCCTTAGTCATCTATTCAAGGGATGGGTATTTTTTTTCCTGTTTTTTCCCTTCTGTATACCAACCCAAGGATCTAGTGAGTAGCTCAAGATATGAAAAATCACAACTTGGTTTGTGTCTGATATAAGTACTGATTCACTGTGTGTGATTCCTTGATCAATTGATATTGGAATTGAATTTATCAGAAGGCCATCCCTTAAAGAAACTGGAAACTGGGCTGGAGCACTGAGTATGGCTTGGTTCAGTGAGGATATGACCACCTTTCACAAGTTTTGAACCCTCATAGTATAGGAGAACAAAAGGTTTATCTCTCCAGTTTGTCGAAAACCATCCCTCCTCAAGTCATGGCTGATTGTAGCCTTCTGACATATGAAGAGATTAGGAAAGCAATGATGGCCTACACTGATTGAGTAATTGCTAAATAATTCCTTGGTGGGTTAATAAGGTTGGGGCCTAGTTAAAACACATCCCTTGTATCTTACTTTTTTTCCATCTTATCTCAGACAATGTTTCATTATCCTACTGTACTTTGACACCTGATTAAAATTTAGTCAATGCAGTGACAGCTATTTTCTCTGTTTTTCAATATTGGCACTGTTGCAATCATGTCTATAAACTAAGATTAATGACTGTAAATAAACAACTTATTGAGATATTTAGACTGGCCCCATAAATGAACGTTAATTGATATTAATTTACTTCTTAGATCTTCATGCAAGAAACAATATTATAAACATCATTATGTATTTATTGGAATATCAGATTTTAATTAAAATAGGTTCTGCATTTAAGACAGTTTTGCCTTTTAATAATTCATATTCTCAAGAAACCATTGTTGTAAGGGAACATTTATAGTACAACCAAAATAAAATATCTTATGTTGCTCACATTATTGTATCTTTTAAATGCTATTTTTTTTTACCATCCATGATTGGTATTGGTACTTACACCTAAGCCAGTGAATGCAAATATTAGGTATAATGGCCATTTTTAATGATTTTCAGTTATTCTTTTTATTATCAACCGCAAGGCTCACTTGTGCACTCAAGCAATACACTGAAAATAAATTTAGAATGTGAGGAGCCAGTCATTGTCACAAAACTGTGTCCAATGGTTCTAAAAAATTGTATCTCTCAAAGCTGTCAGTTCAGTGAATCATGATATGTTGAACAAAACATTTTTGGCAGTTCACTCTGGTAGTGTTCTTGCTCATTGAACCCGCCTACTTCAGCACAGTTCATTTTATTTGACTGTGAATAAAAACACAATATATTCACCAGCTCTTAGAAGAGGGCAATGCTGTTCACTCAGTCAACAATTATATTCTTCCAAGGTGGCGCCCAAAGTGCCCAACATAATTCTAACACTTATTTCTGTCACTCATTCCAACTGTGCTGTCTAGTTCTACTGTGACTAAAATGCCATACCTGTTCTAATCCCCACTTTTAGAGCTCTATTGCTTGTATATTTTAATCCTGTCCAGCTAAACCTTGGCATACGTTTCACCTGCAAATGATTTATTTAATGTATTGTACATTAAATTGTTTTGTTCTGGCTCCTCTGGGTTATACACGAGGTGGTAAAAGGATTAATTTTTAAAACCTAGACTTGGCATTCACCAAAGTTGTAGTTGTACATAGAAAAGGGACTAAAATTTCAGTAGAAGCTCAGATGCTGTAAATGCTTGGATTATAATGGTTTCAAGGATATATTGCATTAGCATAAAATTGATAATAGATCAAGTATAAGTTTTCTATTGTATTGAATATTATCAATGTAATATTGTTATACCCTTTAAAATTAGTATTAGGTGAATAGTCTGAAAATGCATTTTCTACTACTTAGTGAAAATCATATCGCCCATACTTCGTCTGTGTTTTCCACTGCCTGTTATTTCAGAATAACCTCTCCAAAGCTTTATACATATTTCTTAAAAATAATAAGGTTGAAAGCCTTAAGTTACAACAGTGTTTCTCCACAGGGTTGTCAATCCTAGATTTTTTTTACTGACAATATACAGACTTGTTACTGGCAACCAAACATTTTTACTGATATATGTTTTACCTAATGTAAATGTAACCTGTGCTGCCAGCCCCTGGACAGCTGTAACAAATTCAGGGGTTGAATGTAACTTTTAGCACGATCTTACTTGGCTGTAGAAATAGTTTTACATTGTGCTGCCCCCACCTCATGAGTGCTGTGCTGCCCCCTACTCACCTCGCACCCTGACACCCTTGACTACCCCACACTGTGTTGCTTTCCCTACCTTATCCCTGCCATTTCCGCTCCCCCCATTCTGGCATGGACCCCACCCAACACCTCTTTCCACTCTGGACTCTACAGCTCCATCCTGGTTGCACCACTCCTTCCCTATCCTGCTCAGTGCCTCACACTGCCCAGCCCTTTCTACCTTTGAGGAGACTAGCCATTAGAGGCAGCACAGGCATGCGCAGTGGCAGCACATGGCTTGGGGAAATGAGGCTCCCATGGGCTGCAAAGTCTAAGACTATTCCCTATAGATGGACTGCTCTGTCTATCCATCGACGTTAGCCTCAGGTCTCATTCCCATGATAGAATTTCAGTCAAGGTCATGGCTTCTTAGCCTTTTTTTTGTTTTACCGACTGTATGAGCAAGCATTTTTAAACCTTTCTTTTACAGACTGTCTGTAAAATTATGGACAATTGGCAATCCTGTTTCCTCCACATTTTTTCCTAAAAGCTATCTATTATCACCATGATCAGTGGCACCTTGAAGAGTGAACTGAAACTGATGACACAGTAATTGAAGTCTCAATTGCCCCAATCCTGGACATAATTTAAACTCAGGGGCTGAGTCCAGATGAGCACAGTCATGCAGTATGTGGTGCCATAGACACATCTGCAGCGCCACATACCGCACATTCAGCTGCTCTCCACATTGCAAGGCAGGGTGGGAGGATGGGGCTGACCCCTGGATTTCCAGGGGTAAACAAAAAACATGCAAAAAAAGCAGAGTGGTGCATGTGGGGGCAGTGTATGCCGCTCAAAATTGGAGCCTTGACTGCCTGGAGCCATGTTGTGACTGCTGGCCAGGCTCTACATGGTAGCATTACTGGTGCTGCATCCCCAGGAGGCCTCCAGGAGCCCAGGTAAGGCTGCTGAGGCCAGCCCAGTGCTGGCCCCAGCCTCCCCTACCCCACCCAGGGTAACCTGCCGTGCACCAGAAGGCTCATGCCACAGGCATTTCCCAGGGACAACTAGTGCTGGTACAAGATGTCCCACTGCTAGTAGTACCCAGGGAACCAAACATCCATGCTTGTATGGACACAGCCAGGGGGAGTATTTGTACCCTTAACTTTACCTTAGTGCTTGTTGGATTGGATCTCTATCTTGAAACAAATCTACATTTCTATAAAATGTGATGGTCATTTTCTGTTAAGCTTTAAAATGAAAACTAATGAATGTTCTTAAGAATCTAGAAATTCACGTATTACTACTTTTATTTTCAAATGCTTTGTTTTTTTAAAGGTATATGAAAAGGTCACCAGAATTCTGTAAGCCTTCCATGGATGGAATCACTTTTGAGTGAGCCGTAGTTCTGTACTGAGAGGTTTTAAAGATCATGTTCCTAAGTGATTTACCCAAGGTCACATTTATCTGTTATGTATTATAATTTCCTATATATCTTCTATCACCTTAGAGTCTGACCACCATGGAAGGCGTAAGCATCAGTAGCAAAAATACAGAGTTATTAATCGCATGCTCCAGCCAATCCCTTGAGCTTTTTACACTGTATTTGAGCCTCAGATTATTTAATGTAATTCAAATAGTTACATTGCAGCACAGTAGTGATAGTTTTTAAATTCCAATATCCATTTAATATACTTTTTTTTCAGTGTCCCCTCACATGGCAGAACAAGTGGGAAGGTCCAGAAGATCCTCTACAGTATCTCAGAGGTCTTGTGTCTCGAGCACTTGCTATCCAGGTATAATGGAGCACTCAGTTAACTTCAGAATATTCATTTTTAATGCTGCGAGGTACCTTGTGTATTTCACTAAAGTAGGAGTTTCCAAGCCATGATCACAAAGTGGTTTAAAAGTACAGAGGTAACTCCTCTGTAGCATGACAGGTATCTAGTTGTGGTTCAGGACTTCTGATGGTTGTCTGTAGGGCCCAAGAAGGAATTTTTCCCCTGTGAATATTGTTAGCGTTCGGGCTCAGGCAGAGGAGAGGGCACGTGCCTTTCTCTGAAGCCCTGGGACACTGGTCACAGCCAAAACTGATTGTTTTTGACTGGGTTGAACTGATATCTCTGGTAAAACTTAGAAAGCTCAGAGGTTCCTGAATAGAAATCAGAAAGGAATCTTTCCTGGATACCAGATTAGAAAGAACATTGCAGGGTTTAGTCTTCTGTATTGTGGCATAGGATCTTCTGAGCATATATGAACCAACATTCCTAATCTTGTAGTGGCAGGGTATATATAGTGCTCTTTTCTTCCCTATCTTCTTTGTCTTTGTGATGTTTCTGATTTTGCTTTGTAGTTGTGTTTGAGGATTTGAAGTGTTGATTTTGATGTGCATTGGCTTTTTGGGAGAAACCAATGGTAAATTGTTGCCTGTTAGTGCAGAGGATCAGATTCAATGGCCTAGAAGGCCCATTCCAGCTCTGTGTTCTTAATTTGTGCAAACATAAATTAAAAATGATAAATATAAACATGTGAGAGCAATGTAAGAACTGCAATTTTGTGTCCTTAAAAAAACCACAGTTCTATTATGGGAATATAATATTATTCACTTTTAGATAAATTTTTCATGTCTGAAACTTCAATCACAATTTTCAGTCAGGTTCTTTGGAGAAGTGCAAAAGATCTGTTTGTCTTTATTCTTTTCTCTATAGAATTATAGTAATAGTTTCAAAGCTGGTATTTCTTCCAAAATAAAATTGAAACATCATGTACAGAAGAGATGCTGATAAATGTGCCTGTTTGTGTTTTTTAGATTACATTTGGTCATTATGTTATTTACAGTAATTCAAAAAGCTGCATTAAAATGTAGTGATACTTTTAAAATGTACATATTTGAATCGATATATTTTTATTTCACTGATCCTTGTGAGATATTTAATAGCTATTAAAACTATAGTCTGATTTGATATGTAGTTTTACAAAACTGCTAAAAACAGTTGCCATTTATGCCTGAGATAGTGTACTTACACCAGAATGCAAGTTTAAAATTCTTTTGCAGTCTGACAACTAAATCATCTGGTGGTAAGGTGTCTATCATTTTCATTCACAAACAATAAGTACCATCTATAAAAAGTTAAATTAGATAGTCAAATTAAAGTGTGAAATAGATTTTACAAACTTGGAATGATTTTTTTTTTAAATAGCGATAATTTCAAAAGAGAAACTATTTTGTTCAGTAGAATGGGGAAAGATATAATTTTTGTCCCAGGTGTGTTCCTAAATCTATTATTCAAATTTAAATTCTGTCTTTAATTTCTGTGAAACTTGCTGTGGAAGAGAAACAAGTGAAAAAAATAATTGGGCAATAAATTATTTTCTTTGGTCTGTTGATTTAATGCTTGTTATAAAATGACTGGATTTATTTAGGAGGAGGACAGCGCATAAAATTGAATTCAAATCTGTTTGTGTGAAAAATAGAAATGTAAGTATGGTTACATATCAGTATAAATATATGCACATACCTGTGGGGGGAAAACACTAACCCTTGCATTGTAAGTAATTATCATTAATCTTGTTTTGGAAATTTGGACATACTTTTTACAAATCTCATGGGGAAGTTTTATTACTATTTACTGTTCATATATTTGCTACATTTTTCTTGCTTTTCCAGATGGTTGGCATTTTAAAATATTGTTACCTTGGTTCAAATTCTCTGAAAGGCTAGGCTGTAAACAATATTTTTATGGTACTTGTGTACACAATGGTCTTTCCTAGAATATTAACAATCAAACTGAGTTTGTACCATTGATCGTACACAGCAATCCAAATAAGACCAATGAAAGAACACTGGCCTAGAGGAAGCAGCTGATGTAGCAGATACTTAGGCATTCATTGACTGTGGTTCTTTTACACTTTAAATTAGTTGTAGTCTCAATAGATAAAGTTAATTTACATATACATATATTTTATAGGTTATGTCATTATCATTAGATTTAGGTGCTGATGTACATTTATTTTTGAAATATCAAATTTAATACCAGCATTTGCAATCCACTGGTACATAGTTCTGCTGTGCTATTTGCTCTTCAGCTTCTCTCAAATTAAAAAGGTACTATTTATAGTTAGCGTGTGGACAGAAAGGGCCATCTGTACCAACGCCCTTACCCTTTGAAACATTTCAAAAGTAGCTGAAGCTTTCCAAAATAGTACCTTTTAAAGCAAGATATTATTTTGAGTTCTTGTTTATTAACAAGATATTATTTCAGTTCTTGTTACGTGTGTACAGGTACAGAGGAGGATCCACTCATAGGTCCTTCAGAATCCCACAGTGCTCTGGTCTCTCTCCCTACCCTCCCCGCACGGGAGGGGCAGAGAGTGGGGCAGGCAGTTTTTAAGCTAAATGTTTCCCACTTTCTAGTCTTGGCTACTCCAGTATTGGGGACCCACCACTGCTGGTGCCAGGCTCTTCAGCCCCAGTCACCTCTACTTCTCTGCTCTTGTGAGAGGTAAGAGAAGCAAAGCAGATTTGGGGCTGAAGAGTCAGAATCCTGGCAAAGGAAAGCCGGGGAACCCCTAGCTTGACCTCATTGCCCCACATCCCTCCAGAGGCAGCCTTCACTCAGCCCCAGTACCCCTTGACTGAAAAGCTTCAGCTGCATACAGCCACAGCAAATTTTAAGCATTACAGCTGGGGAGTGCTACAGGGGTTGTATGTATCCCTCAAGACACATTTCTGTTGTTAAGCACTTCCAAGAGCCTTTCACTTAGAAATGTTTCATAAGTTACTTCTGCCTGCACTCTTAATTCCATTCACTTTGTTACACTTTTAATAAAAAAGTCAACGATCTGCACAAACCTATTGTGCCAGAGTTCAGGGCCACAAGCAAGCTAAATTGCTCCCACCTGACCCTGGCCTAACAACACTCAGCTTGCTCTAATTGCTTGAATGGGTGTGACTATCTGCTTATAAGCAGCAGACCTTTTAGGCTGCTTGTACACGTGACCGGGGTTTATTTGAAACGGTGAATTATTAATTGGTGGGTTTTTAATTGTGATGAATAAAAACCCACCATTTCATTTTAGGGACTCCGTCACTGTAACAGTGAGGGGCCCACTCCTTTTTTTTCCCCCTTTTTCCTGCCAGAACTTGCCCACAGCTGGGGGGCAAGCTGCCAGTGGGTCCTGAGCTGCTTGGAGCCAGCACCCCACCTGGCTAGCCCCAGGGGGTGCCACTGCCATGGATGGAAGGGACTGGGTCCCCTTGCAGCTCAGGCGACACCAGTAGCTTTGTCTCCCAGTCACAGGCTGCTCTGCTGGGGGGAAAAAAAAGAAGGATTGGGCCCCTCATCACTTTTTTTTCCCCAGCAGAGCCTGCCCATGACCAGGGGGCAAGTTACTGGCAAGCTGAGCAGCCCATGAGCTGTGGGGGACCCCGGTCCTTCCCTCCATGGTGGCAGCATCCTCTGGGGCTGCCCAGGCAGGGTGCTAGTAAGGTGGGTGCTGGGGGGGTGCCACCACTGCAGAGGTAAGAACAGGGCATTCTGCAGCTCAGACACCACTGGCAGTTCACCCCCTGCCTGCTCCTTTCCAGAACAGCAGCCAGCTCATTGAAACACGCCCCCTCTAGCTTCCTCTCGGCCTCTCATATTTTCATTTCTTGGCTACCCAGGGGGATAACTGCTAAAAAAAGGGTTGGAAAAGGCACTGGATAATGCCTAACCTAGGCTGTGACAATTCAAGCACTATGTGGCGATGTCATACATTCAGGTTCAAAATCTCAATAGGTACAGGGAAGGTCTAGAACTTAGGTCTCCAGCTTCCTTCCTGAGTGCCTTAATCACGATGCTATTGGAGCTAAAGCACAGAATCCTCCTCCAACATCTAATACTTGTAAATCATGGGTTTCTGACCAGCTACATTTTTGTGATTTATGTGGCCAGTGTGGGCATACGTACATTAGCTTTGCACTGGCTGGGCAAGTACGTGGCCATTTTGCATGTTTAGCTTTATATATGATTAAGCATCCACACTGCAGAGGCAATAGAATCACAACCCAACCTGTACCTAAGTGCCAAAAACACCATTTTGATGCACAAAAGGAAATAGAGTCCTGCCCTTAGAAGAGATGATGTGTTCAAAAGTTTGGGGAGATGCACTTTTTCATATGGAATAAAGAAGCTGAATTCCTGTTTCATGTGCAAGAAATGAGCACAGTCTTATCCAGGGTATCACATAGTATGCTATAGTACAGTGTGGTATAGTGCAGGCATGGCCACCCTGCAGCACAAGTGCCAAAAGTGGCATAGGCAGCCTCTGTTTGCCACAGGGCAGATCAGAGAGGGAGCAAGTAATACAGTAGGGGTGCGTGAAGTGGGCCCTATTCGATTCGGATTCAGATTTGGCCTGAATCAGGGACAGCGATTTGATTTGTTGATTCAGATCACTGTCCCTGATTTAATTCAGCTGAATCCGAATCTGAAGATTGGTTGCTGATTTAGAGAATCAGCAATTCAAACATAGACACCGCTTTAAAACTTTTTTCTACATACCTTGAGGTAGCAGGCACAGTTCATGTTCACTGTGATGCTGGGACGCGTGGAGTGTCCCACAGGAGTGTGGAGGGGCCCTCCACGTGCTTGGCAGCAAATCCAGAAATAGACCGGAAGTACTTCTGGTCCACTTCCAGGTCCGCTGAGGAGTGCACAGGTACTCCCCCACACTCCCTGGCTAGGCGATGGGCTGCAGGGGGACCCTGGGTGCCCCCCACAAACCCATGAGGCACCAGTCTCCAAGCCGGGGT